GTGTGTGTGTGTGTGTGTGTGTGTGTGTGTGTGTGTGTGTGTGTGTGTGTGTTGGGGGGGTTATGCTGGTCTTCTGGGGAAGGGGCCCGCTGTGCTGATCCTTAGGCACACTTGCCTGAGAAAAACAGTACCTGCAGAGTGCAGGGAGGCAGGACTTGATATAAGCAGATTAAGTCAGTGTTGGTGCTGTGCCGTTTACTGAAGTTGGTTTATGCTGAGGGGTGGAGTAGGGAAATGGCACCAGCCAGCTCCTTGTCCCCTGAGAAGGGAGTCCATGCTCGCTGCTCTCAGGGAAGCCCTCCAAGAAGAGTGAACAATTTCCCCCTCATGTGTCTTAGGTATTTTTCAGATTGCTGTTCTCAAACTGTGTCCATGTTGATTGTCTGCCTGGGGTAGTGCAAAGTACTTTGGGCTCTACACCAGCCAAGCTGTCTGATTTTTAAAACTGCAGACTTTAGGGACCTGCTGTGGTGGGGACCTGTGCTGGTCCTCTGGGAAAGGATCTCACTGTGCTCTTATGAGCAAGCAGCCTAAACAGCCAGTGTCCGGCTTAGCTGCCCTCAGCAGGTGTCTCTGCTCCTATGCTAAGGGGCAGGGGAGGGAAATGGCACCTGCAGCCTCTTTTGTCCCCTGAGAGGCAACTCTGCGAATGTCTTCTCACACAGATGCACTTCAAAAAGAGTGAACAGTCTCTCCCTGTGCCTGTTAGATGATCTTCAGATCATGCTCTCTACCCTGGGATTTTGTGCATGCCTTCAGTGCAGGAGTAGGGCAGCGCTCTTACGGCTCTATCCCAGTCAAGGCTGCCAACTTCTTTAAGTCCAGTCTTTGAGCCACACTGGTTGCAAAAACTCATGAAAATCAGCCCCTCTCATTTTCCAAGCCAGTGGCTTTGGGGAAGTGTTCTCCTTGTGCATTCCCGTGTGTTCCTGTCTCAGCTTTCTTTGCAACCATGGCTCCCTTCCCTTTGTAGCACCTGCGATCCATCTCCCCCAGACTCCATCTCTGCACTCCTACCTTCTTCAGGGTGGCCTCTTTTCTCCCTGTACTTGTGCAGTTGCTTCTCTCAGCCTGCACCCTACATTTCTTCTATCTTCATTTTTATTCTCTCTGTTCTTCAGATTGCATAACCAGCCTGTCTTCACGTTCACTAGTTCTATATCTTGGCAGTTTCAATCTACTGATAGCCCCTGTAGTGAATTACTTTATGACCCAGGGAGTTGATGGTGCTCTGCGTCAGGGGTCTCCAAGACCAACCTCAGGTATGAGGACTCACTACAAGGGCTCACAGAAATATTTATTCCACAGAAGAACTTAGTTCAGAAAAGCTCTCATACACAGTGCTCCAGTTGACTATGGGGAAAAGGTCTGTATTGAAATTAGTGAATAGAAAAGGAACACAAAGCAGAATCCAGGAGAAACCAGGATCAAGCTCCAAGTCGTCCCCTCTCAATGCAGTTGTACATACAGAGCTTAATGTGTGACAACTTTTATGAAATATTTCTAGCCAGGGGAGCTCACCCAGGTCTTTTTATTGAGGGTTAGTCATGGGCACTCCTATGTGACTGGTGTTAGCTTCTCAGCATCCAGCTCCTCTAGAAGTCTGATACAGTATGTCCCAGGGCCCAAGGCCCCACCTATATACACAGACACTCTTATCAATCCATGTATTCTGAGGGCTTGCAGATTTCCTCCCAGGAGTTGCTCAAGGGCTAGTCCTAAAGAATATTCAGGGTTTGGACAATTAAGATCTGTTACCCTTTTACTGCATACTTTCTAGCAGAAGTATTTATTTAATGTGCATGGCATATCTCTCTGGGTCCTGCTGATAGAAAGGAGTAAGACAAGAGTGGTCACGGTAAATATAGGGTTAAGGTTGACTCCTTAGTGGTGCAGGTAAGCCTATTAGGGTCAGAGCACATATTGTGAGACCAGAGGATCTGATTTGAACTTCCTGTGAATTGAGTTTAGGTCCCCAGTGCTTTCAGACTCACCCTTCCTCCTGCACACATTCATATGTTTCAGGACTCGGTGGTCTTTGAGGATGTGGCTGTGGACTTCACCCTGGATGAGTGGGCTTTGCTGGATTCTATGCAGAAGAACCTCTACAGAGATGTGATGCTAGAAACTTTCCAGAACCTGGTGTCAGTGGGTAAGGATGGCTTCAGGCCTTCACTTAGTCATCTAATAAACAAGTATCTCTTGTCAGTGCTTTTCCACAATTTGAAATGTGGAAAAGAAATACACTGGTAAGTAAGACAGACATTGTCACAGTCATCACGGACCTACAATCTAATAATGTCTCCGTGACAGTGGAAATGTGTCCCTTAAACTGAGGTTTTATTTTTGTCTTGATTCAGACTAGAAACTCCTTTGGCTTCATTAGTGGGGGATCAGCTTCATGTGTTGGTCTGGTTCACAGAGAGGTTTCTTGGAAAACTTTTGATAGTTGTTAGTAAATTGCCTACCATTTTGACCCCTCCTGCCTGCCATCCATGAAGTCCTGAAAGCACTAAAGTCCTCAAAGTCTTTCTTTACTCATAAGTTCCTTCTTCCTTTAATATGTTCATTCACCTTTTTGTTTGTTTCAGATTATGAAACACTGCTTAAAGCCAGTGGGTTGGTTTCTCAACAGGATATGCATGAGAAAAAAAAATCTAATGAACAGAAAATGGCAAAATTCACAAAAAATCATTCTTGTGCCTACATCTTAGAAAAAAATTGGGAAGACCATAGCACTGAAGATCAGCATGGAAACCATGCAAGACATCTGAGGTGAGTTGTGTTCACAAGATAAAGCAGTACTAATCCCAGGACAGAGTTTTGGTAGGTCATGAAATTTAAAAAATAAAAACAGCTCCAAATCTATTTGAGAGAGAGAGGACAAGTGGGTTGGGTGGGAGGAGGTACAGAGGGAGAGGACGAAGCAGACTCCCTGCTGAGCAGGGAGCATGACGCAGGGCTTGATCCCAAGGACACTGAGATCATGACCTGAGCTGAAGGCAGACAGTTAGTTAACTGACTGAGCCACCCAGATGCCCCCAAATCTATTTAGAATACTAAGAAAGTTTTTAAAAACTTGATTGAGACATTGAGTGTTTAAGCATAATTCAGTTAGACACTTTTAGGAAGACCCCACACATGATAAACAGTATGAACAGTGAACATGATAGAAGTCACTTCTAGGGCATTAGTTAACTCTAAGACAATCCACAGAGGGTAGAAAAACTTCCTGTATACTAAAATGCAGTTAGTCATCTGGCTCTAATACTTATTAGTTGCTAATAATAAATCATTAATAAACATAACATTGATAAAGTGTTTCTGACTTTTAACAGAAATCCTGTGACAGGCAGATTCTGTGAAAGTAATGAAAGAAATCAGCACAGAGAAACGTGCAGCCGGTTTCCCCATTTTAATTTCTGCAAGCATGTTTCTACTGGAGTAAAACTCTATGAATGCACCAAGTGTGGAAAAGGCTTCATGCATCTTTCTTCCCTGAAGAGGCATGTCAGATCTCACTGTGTACAAAAACCACATCCGTGTCAAGAATGCAAGCAGGCTTGCGTTTGTCATGCACACCTAAGAACTCACGCTGGAGAGAAGCCCTATGGATGTAAATTATGTGGGAAAACCTTTCCTTATTTCTACTCCCTCACTCAACATATCAGGATTCACACTCCAGAGAAAAACTATAAATGCAAGCAATGTGGGAAAACCTTCCACGAGTTCTCCAGTCTTACTAGGCACATGAACACTCACACTGGGGAAAAGCCATATATGTGTAAGGAATGTGGGAAAGCCTTCATTTATTCCTCAGTCTTTCAAAGACACACGGTAACACACACTGGGGAGAAGCCCTATGAATGTAAGTTATGTAGAAAAGCCTTTCACCATTCTTACTCCCTCACTCAACATGAAGATTCACACGTCAGAGAAAACCTACGAATGCAAGCAATGTGGGAAAACCTTCCACGAGTTCTCCAGTTATACTGGGCATGTGCGAACTCACACTGGGGAAAAGCCATACAAGTGTAAGGAATGTGGGAAAGTCTTTATCCCTCAGTCTTTCAAAGGCACATGATAACACACACTGGGGAGAAGCCCTATGAATGTAAGTTATGTGGGAAAAAGTTTCGACGTCCCTACTCCCTTGCTCAACATAAAAAGAGACACACAGCAGGGAAAACCTATGAGTGCAAGCAGTGCAGCATAGCCTTCCACGAGTTCTCCAGTCTTACTAGACACGAGAGAACTCACACTGGGGAGAAGCCATATAAGTGTAAGGAATGTGGGAAAGCCTCCATTTATCCCTCTACCTTTTGAAGACACATGATAACACACACTGGAGAGAAGCCCTATAAGTGCAAACAGTGTGGGAAAACCTTCAGTTATCCCCAGTCTTTCCAAAGACATGAAAACACTCACACTGGAGAAAAGCCCTATGAATGTAAGGAATGTGGGAAAGCCTTCAGTTGGCCTGAAACCTTCCGAGTACATGTGAGGAAGCACACTGGGGAGAAGCTGTATAACTGTGAGCACTGTGGGAAAGTTTTCAGTTCCCCCAAGTCCTTCCAGGGGCATGTGAGAACCCACGCTGGAGAGAAACCTTACGAGTGTAAACAGTGTGGAAAAGCCTTCAGTTGGCCCTCAACCTTTCGAGAACATGTGAGAATTCACACTGAAGAGAAACTGTATAAATGTGAGAATTGTGGGAGAGCCTTCACTTCTTCCAGATCCTTTCAAGGCCACATGCGCACCCACACTGGAGAGAAGCCTTATGAATGTGCACAATGTGGGAAAGCCTTTAGTTGGTCCTCATCCTTACAAAAGCATGTGAGGATGCACACTGGAGAGAAACCCCATAAATGCAAACAATGCGGGGAAGCCTTCAAGTGGCCCTCATCCTTTCGAAACCATGTGAGAATGCACATTGGGTAGCAGCTCCAGAAATGCATGTAATATTTGAGTTGGGTCATGCTTTCTAGAGAGAAATTCCATAATTGTAAGTAATGTTGGAAAATCTTGCACTAATTCATGTATCATACTGCAGGAAGGAAATATAGAAGTTATAAATATGGTACTGTTTGTCACTACCTCATTTAAAAACGGACCCCTAAATAGTGAATTTCCAGTTCTTTCACAAATAAGTGTTCATATGAGAAATAATTCTCTAAGTCTTTCAGCTAGAGTGCAGGAGTTTAAAAAGTGGGTTTTTTTTTTTCCTGTTTTTTTCAGTTAATACCATTTTCTTTCTTGGTAGTTTATTTGAGCCATAGTAATTTTAAGTGTGCTTTTAATGTGACAGAAAGTTTAACTCTTACATAGTGTATTGTAGTGTAAGTGACATTGAGCTTCAGATTATAATGTAGGGGCCTGACAGTAATCATTTGACTGCTGAGGCATCTACGTGAAAGACCTCCGTCTAGAATAAACATTGTTGGCTATAGAATGCAGCTGCCAGCAGAACAACTAGATACAGAACCAGGCCACCCTCCACCAATGAAGTTCCTAATAAATAATAAACCTTTAAAACTCTAGGCACCCCACCCTTGTCCCCAACATACATAGAACACCAGGTCTGCATTCTCTACTTACAGCCTTACTGTGTGGCCCCAGGTGTACTGTGTACTTCCCCGGACTTGTGAGTAATAAACCTTATTCTTCTAAGTTCCACAATGGCTGTTGCTAAGGTGCGTCTTATAATAAGAACTACAGGGAACAGTCCAGTCACAACATTAGGTATGGATGGGGTCAGGTCTGTGGGGGCTCACCAAAAGCAGTGTGGCCCAGGTGAGCACACCTAGGCTTTCCTAGCTGACAGGATCACTACTGACAGGCTGAGATGAACAAAACAGTAGTCTTTCTGTATCATTAGAATAACAGGACTTGGGACATTTTGCAGTTTTACTGTTCTGGAAGGGCACATAGTGGATATCACTTATGTATTTCTTTCTTCTTACTGAAATACTCGTTTAATGTAAAAATTTGTAAATATACAAAACTCTAAAAAGGGTGATCTTTATCTCCTGCAATTTGCTCTTTTCCTTGCTTCTGCATGTGACTTGGACAGCAAGCTTTGAATTAAGAATAGAGACCTATGACATAATGAAGCGTATAGATAGAGATGGTTATACCAGATTTCCTTATGAAAATGTGGATAAGGCTGGGAATTCAACCTTCCTAAATGTCTTTCCTGTATACTTCCAGGTTAACATTCATTAACTGACAAATTTTCATGAGACATAGAAAGCAGAATGGACACTGCCTTCTAGACCATTACACTGATTCCTGCCCCTTTTAATCAAGAGTCCCCTCAAAACAGACAGCAGGGACTTGACTTTCATTCTCTCAAACCTAACCTGTCATTAGCTCCATGTCCTCCACCAACATGGATACTAAGAAATGTTCTTTTTACTTTTCACTTGGGATATATGAAAATATCCCATTGCAATTACAGAGTGTGAAATCATGTTATAATTTTGCCAATTTAGGCACCATTCATTGAGTCAGTGTTAACAGGTTTGTACAAATTCATGTATTTTTCTTTCTGGTTTTTTAATGTACTTAAAATTTCTGACATTAACATGATTTCATATTCATTCATGATAGTAAAAACTTATTTTATCAGTGTAATCTAGCCAAAGAACACCAGGACCATGCCTGTAGTCAAGGGGAGTGGGTATGTTATGCTACTGCAGTGGGACACTCACTCACCAGGAAGGTTTGTAGGATGCATCAGAGTGTTTTAAGAGACTGACCAGTTTGGGGTTTCTGTGATTTGGAGGAACACTGAGTGATGTGAGGTTTGTTCTGGATTGGCTACTCAGGTCTGGTTGGTAATCTTCATAGTTCTTATTTGGAAGAGACAAAATTGGAACAGCTTCGCCTGAGTGGCTCAGTTGGTTAAGCGGTTGCCTTCAGCTCAGGTTATGATCCCAGGGTCCTGGGATTGAGTCCCGCATCAGGTTCCCTGCTCAGTGGGGAGCCTGCTTCTCCCTCTCCCTCTGCTGCTGCTCCCTCTGCTTGTGCTCTCTCTAACAAATAAATAAAATCTTAAAAAAAAAATAGACAAACTTGGCTTCATGAAAATTTAAAATTCTGTGCATCAAAAGACAGTATCAACACAGTAAAACGTCAACTCAGAATGGGAGAAAACACTTGCAAATCCACATATTTGATGATATCAATATCCAGAATAAGAATATATACAGAACGTTTAAAATGCAACCCCCCCAAAAAAAAACAAGCCTGATTCAAAATTAATAAATGACTTCAATAGACATTCTCTAAAGAATATATATGAGGAATCTGAGAAACAAGACAGAGGATCTTAAGGGAAGGAGGGAAAAATGAAACAAGATGAAACCAGAGAGGGAGACAAACCATGAGACTCTTAATCTCAGGAAACAAACTGAGGGTTGCTGGAGTGGAGGAGGGTGGGAAGGATGGGGTGATGGACGTTGGGGAGGGTATGTACTATGGTGAGTGCTGTGAATTATGTAAGACTGATGAATCACAGACCTGTACCCTTGAAACAAGTAATACATTATATGTTAATTTTTAAAAGAATATATATACATGTCCAATAAGCACATTAAAAAATACATGACACCATTAATCATTAGGGAAATGCAAATCAAAACTACAATCTGATACCACCTCAAACACAATGGGATTGCTTCTAACAACAAAACAAAGCAAACTAGAAAACAACATGTATTGAGGATGTGGAGAAATTGGAACACTTGTGCACTGTTGATAAAATGGAAAAGCCACTGTGCAAAATACTATGGTAGTTCCTCAAAATTTTAAAAAAGAACAACCATATGATCCAGCAATTCCACCTCTGGGTATATACCCAACAGAATTAAGAGCAGAGTCTTGAAGAGATACTGGTACACCTGTGTTCATATCAGCATTATCCACAATGCCTAAAATGTGTAAGCAACTCACATGTCCACTGATGGATGAATAGATAAGCCAAATGGAGTACATACATACAATGGAATATTTTTCAGCCTTAAAAAGTAAGGAAATTGCAATGTGTAATGAGACAGATGGATCTTGAGGATATTATCCTAAGTGAAATAAACCAATTAGAAAGAGACAAATACCATATGATTCCACGTGTGAGGGACTAAGAGTAATCAAAATTATATAGACAGTAAAATGGTGGGAGCCAGGGTCTGGGGGGAGGGGAGGGAGGGGAGTCAGCATTTAGTGGGAACAGTTTCAGTTTTACAAGATGAAGAGTTCTGGAGATGGATGGTGGTGATGGTTGCACAACAGTGTGAATGTATTTAATACTTCTGAACTTTACACTTAAAAATAATTAATATGATCATTTTATGTGTATTTTACTGCAATAAAAACTGGGGGAAAGTAGGCTAAAGGGCATAATAAAACTGTATATATCCATGACCTGCTTTTACCACATTTCTATCAGGTTTTATGTCCAGTTCACCCCACTGATTTTTCACCAGATAATTTTGAAGAAACTCTCAGATACTACTATTTAATCCATGAATATTCTGGAATGTAATTTTTCAGCATAACCCAAAGGCCATCATCACACCTAAAAATACAGTTTTCCCTTAATATATTCAAATGAACATGGACAGCAATTTCACTAATCATCTCCATAAGTACATAATGATCTATACATACCAATTTATTGAAATTTGTTTTATCTGATAAGGGTCTAGAATTCAGAATAAAAACTTTCTTTTTTTTTTTTTAATTTTTTTTATTGTTATGTTAATCACCATATATTACATCATTAGTTTTTGATGCAGTGTTCCATGATTCATTGTTTGTTCATAACACCCAGTGCACCATGCAAAACGTGCCCTCCTCAATACCCATCACCAGGCTAACCCATCCCCCCACCCCCCTACCCTCTAGAACCCTCAGTTTTTCAGAGTCCATCATCTCTCATGGTTCGTCTCCCCCTCTGACATACTCCCCTTTTCTTCCTCTCCTGTTATCTTCTTCTTTTCCTTTTTTCTTAAAATATGTTGCGTTATTTGTTTCAGAAGTACAGATCTGTGATTCAACAGTCTTGCACAATTCACAGCGCTCACCGTAGCACATACCCTCCCCAATGTCTATCACCCAGCCATCCCATCCCTCCCACCCCCAACCACTCCAGTAACACTCAGTTTGTTTCCTGAGATTAAGAATTCCTCATATCAGTGAGGTCATGTGATACATGTCTTTCTCTGATTGACTTATTTCACTCAGCATAACACCCTCCAGTTCCATCCACGTCGTTGCAAATGGCAAGATCTCATTCCTTTTGATGGCTGCATAATATTCCACAGAATAAAAACTTTCAATTCAACACACAACCCTGTTCAAAAATGTTCAATCCATTTGGTCATTTATGAAATGCAAATCAAAATCACAATGAGATATCACTTCATACCAACCATGATGGCTACTATTTAATAAGAAATGAAAAATAGGTTTCAGCAAAGATGTAGAGAAACAGGAACCCTTATACACTGCTGGTTGGAATGTAAACAGTGCAGGCACTGTGGAAAAATGTAGTGGTTTCTCAGAGTTAATCACAGAGTTACCATATGACCCAGAACTTCCACTCCTGGGTGTGTACCTTTGTGAAAATAAAAGGAAACCTCCTTTAGCATAAAGTTGGGAGCAGCAGGGGCGCTCACACCCTACCATCTCTCAATGGTAGACCAAATGGGGAGACAGGGACCTTGAGTGCAGACACTTTACCCCCAGCTGGAGTGAGAAAATTTTCCTCCACCCTAACAACAGCCCAGCCAATGGGAGGCCATCACAGCTCAGCCAGTGAGAAACCACTACACTGGAGCTCCATTTACTCCCATAGACTTATCTTAGAATAGCCCCTCCCAACTTCTCTTCACTTGCTTATGTTTGCCGTACTTGGCTTGTCCCTATTGCAATTCCCTGCTATTTCCAAATAAACCCACTGTTTTGCTGGTAAAATAGCTAGCACTTGTATTTTTTAAGGTTCCATTATTTGGTGATCAGAAGTGAGACCCAGAAGACCCCTAATGACTCCGAGGCTGGTGAGCAAACAGGTACCAGAACTCAGCAGAGAAGTCTCATTGCTTTCTCACCCACAGGGGAGGTTGACAGTAAGTTTTCTGGATTTTGAGCTCTGCTCTCCTTGTGTTTGACCTCTCCAGGCTTTCTTCAGGATCCTCAGGTTTTACGGCCTTGTCCTTTCTCAGAGTACTTATAGCATATGGAGGTTGGTAACAACGTGATTTGTTGTTCGGAGATCCTAGACAAACTATCCAATTGGGTCACAGGTAAAATAAGGGTATTACAGGGACTAGTGCAAGAGATAATGAGGCCCTGAGCCTTAGATGGTTTGATGCCTTGAAGAGCTGTTTTATTTATAGGGTACTGATTAATTCTGGGAAGAACTATTTTTTAAGATTTATTTGAGAGAGAAAGCACGGAGTGGGAGGGGCAGAGGGAGAGAGACTCTAAAGCAGACTCTGTGCTGAGCGCAGAGCCGGACCTGGGGCTCCATCTCACAACCCTGAGATCACAACCTGAGCCAAAACCAAAAGTCGGTCACCTGATTGTGCCACCCAAGTGCCCCTCCTGGGGAGAACTTTTGAGGGATCTATTTGAATCTTGATGGGAGGCGCACTGTGGATTCTGTCAATATCAGTTGAAGATTTTGCACAGAAAGGATGGTAGCTGATCTCATAAGAACAAATGATCAGTGTCCCCAGACTGTAATAGTGTGTCAGATATGGAGCAAATAAAAGAAGTTGAAGTGTCATTTAACCCCCCTTGTTGGTGATTGTGATTACTACTGTCAAAATCTAGAATCATTTCCCCTTTGAGAGAAAGAAATCCCAGTGTGATACTTTTCTAAGAAATGTCACCTGCACCTGGGTGGCTCAGGTGGTTGAGCATCTGCCTTTCGCTCGGGTCATGGTCCTGGGGTCCTGGGATCTAGCCCCACGTCGGGCTCCTGGCTCAGCGGTGAGCCTGCTTCTCTCTCTGCCCCTCCCCCTGCTCATGCTCACTCTATCAAATGAATAAATAAAAAAATTTTTAAAAAAAGAAATATCAGGTGCATAGATGAATAGAGAAGTAACTAAGAAGGGAGTGAGAGAAAGAGCAGAGGGGAGGGGCAGAGGGAGAGGGAGAAGCAGATTCCCCGCTGAGCAGAGAGCCCTATAGAGTGCTCGATCCCAGGACTCTGGGATCATGACCTGAGCCAAAGGCAGACGATTAACTGACTGAGCCACCCAGGTGCTCTCTTATCTAGAAAGCAGGAAGAATGCAGTGCAGCTGAAACTAGGAATAGAGAAGCACCAGGCACATCAGCTAGAGGCAGGGAATATTTGCTGATTTTTACAGATTGGACTTCATTTTTTAGCCTCCTTACCGACATCACCGTGACATGGTCTTCATGTGCCCTGACTCCTCACAGACAAGGAAGTGCCTCGTCGGAGGACAGGCGGGTGAAACTGTTTCTGCTCAGTGAGAGAAAGCCACAGCCCAGTAGTGAGCTCCAGGCCAGCTTCCACTGTCTGAGGCTATGTTTGCGTTCTCATATACTATGTGAACACTGACATCTTGCTTCTTCACATCCGGCACTGCGTTAAATGTTCTCCATAAAGGAACTCAACATAGATAAACCCAGTTGCTCCTCAGCAGACTCTATAAGGTAGATAATGTTTTTATCTCCTTGTATGAGCTACCCGAGGCCTACAGATGCAGGTGATTTTCCAAAGGCCACAGAGCAAGAAAGGAACCAAGTCAGGATCATGATTCAAGTGGAGCCTTTCTTTCCCAGACTCTATATTCAGCGTCAGGTGCTAAATATTGAGCCTCCCTCGCTCCCTCGTGTGCCACACACTCGGCTCAAAGCAAACGATGACACTCCACACTGATCTAGACACTGCAGGCACTTGCCCACATGTCCTCATGCTTATTGCTTCCCACCCTCCCAGTCCTGCTTGCTCCCCTGGTGTTCCCCCATGTCACCCCTTCTTTACAAGCACTGACTGTCCTTCTAGGACCTGAGTATAATCCGCTGTCTCCCTGGAACGTCCTGTGTCCCCTGTTTGGCCACATGACTGGGCAACCACTGAAGGACACAGAACAGGTGCAGATTCAGAGCCTCCACACAAGCATCAGGTGGGCACCCCTGCAAAACTTCGCTCTCAGATTCTGAAGAGAACTGGAAACAAAAGAACCACAAAATCACAGGGAAAACGATCTCTGGGTACACGGAAGGGTTAACAATTTGTAAAAAAAATGAAATTGGATTTCATGGTTCTGCTATGAAAAAGAGAGTTCCATGGAAAATGTCACATATGGACTGTTTCCCACTGGTGGTGACATCGAAATGTGGTGGTGACACACCTTCCATGCTGTTTCAGTTCAGTGCACCTACATTCACCCCTATTAGTGTGTGGGATCCACACGGTCACTGGTCATGCTGGTGAATTGAGGACAGTAGAGAGCAAATCCCATTCCGACAGTGGTTGGAATAATTAGACGGAAGCATTCCTCTCTGCAGAGACTGTGCAGGTATCCTTATTGTGCACTCACACTACCACATTCCTTCCCCAAGTCCCACTGGGCCTGCTCACCTTACAAACCCTCTCAGACATGAAGCCCAACCAGCTCCACCCAAAATACAACCACACTCGCACCAGGCCCAGGGCCAGAGGAGCATCCCTGGGGGCCATCTGATGGATAGAAACTGACCTGCGTCAACTGGGGGCAGATCAACAGAAGCGTGAGTGGTCGGGAGGAAAGAGAAAGGCACGGCCCATCCTTCCTCCACTGGAATTAATACAAGGAGACACCACTGGGTGAAGCATGACCAACCACTAACCTATCCATCATTGCAAGAAACGTCCTGTTCAGCACAATTCAGCACAATCCCCAGCAAGAAGGAATGAGGAGGAAGGACATGTTTCCATTCTGGTACGGACTTTCATGTAAACGTCTCAGAGGTATTTGGACAACAAACATTGAGAAGCAGCATTCCCAGAAATTAGGAATTTCCTCAAGGCAGTTATGCCTGGAGCACGAGTTGTAAGTCATTCCCACAACTAAGACTCGCCTCACCACAAACGTGGTTTGTTTCGTTGTTGACAAATAGGGAAGATGCATGTGTCTGGCTCCCTCTCCCACACTCTTGAGCTGCAAGACCATGACTCCTGGTGTTCTTTGTCAGAGACCATTACATAGGCGACATTAAGGGTTTCACCACTGGGAGTAATTTTTTAAAAAAGCCTTGAGAGAGAGAGAGAGAAAGAGAGCATGAGGTGGGGAAGAGCAGAGGAAGAGGAAGAAATTTTAGCAGACTCCATGCTCAGCATGGAGCCCAACTCAGGGCTTGATCCTACGACCCTGAGATCTCAACCCCAGCTGAAACCAAGAATTGGAACTGAACTGACTGCACCACCCAGTTGCCCCAGGAGTAAGTCATTTTAATGAGACAGTGGTAGCAGCTGCAGGGATATTGAAGAAATACAGATCAGAAGGAAAATGTCAAATGTTTACGTACTTAGTCCTATTAACCCAGAATAATATTTCCAAAAAACTGACACAATTAGAAGAAAAACTTAATCCTCTAGAATGGGATATATTTTTTTAAGATTTTGTTTATTTATTTAATTGACAGAAAGAGACAGTGAGAGAGGGAACACAAGCAGGGGGAGGGTCAGAGGGAGAAGCGGGCTTCCTGCCGAGCAGGGAGCCCAATGAGGGACTAGATCCCAGGACCCTTGGAGCATGACCTGAGCCGAAGGCAGTCGCTTAACCAACTGAGCCACCCAGGCGCCCCTAGAATGGGACATTTTAAAAGAATTCAGTTGTGAGGGGCAACTGGGTGGCTGAGTCAGTTAAGCATCTGCCTTCAGCTCAAGTCATGATCTCAGGGTCCTGGAATTGAGCCCTGCATCAGGCTCCCTGCTTAGTGGGGAGTCCGCTTCTCCCCCTTCCAGTCATCCTGCTCATGCTCACTCTCTTTCTCACTCAAAATCTTTTTTAAAAAAATAAAAGAACTTCTAAGTTGTGAAACATAAAACATAGTATCATTTGCAAGTATGCAACAGATTTGAAAACCTCAGTAACGTGGTTTCCATGAAGCAATGTAGAGAACCACGTTTGACAAGACAGACAAACAAAACCATTGTTTCGAATCATGTATTAAAAATAAAAAACCACTGGGAAATCACATTTAACAACAGAAAGGAATTACATTTAACAACAGAAAGTAATTAAGCATACTGGATTTATCTCTTAGATAGCAGTCAGCTAGTCAGCTATAGGGTAAAATTCCCACAAACCGCCATACACTCACAAGTGCTTATTCCAATTATGGAAACAACCAGAAGGAAGAAATACAGGATCAGTGCAGCCTCTCTACAGTGCAACCAGGGAAGGTGTTTTCCTGCATCTGAGGCTGTAGCATTAAATCTGTCAGATCTATCCTGAGAAGGACAAGATGCTCAGCACAGAAATCATGTATTAGGAAAAGCATGGGAGATCCCTAAACATGATAACCTGAAGAGGTGGCCTCATGGACACAAAGAGCCACAGGGCAAAGCAAGGAACCGTATGGACCTGAAAACCAAGACCATCCATCACAGGAGAGCTTGTGGAAAAGTCTCTGGAGTATGCTACTTAACAAAAACTAACGTTAAACTTGTGCTAGGTTGGGGGCCATTCCAGACGACAGATCAGAAGTCAGGAAAATGTGCTGTGACCCAGGCCCACATGGGTCCCCTGGCATCTGTCTCCTGCTGGAAACTCATGGCTTCTTCACGCAGTTTCTTTCTTCAGGGCCTTCATTTCAGAACCGCACAGAGAAGGACTCTGAGACATCTGGTCTCCTGCCTCACCACGCTCACAACGAAATCCAGTAGAACCAGCCAGATGCTAGCTTTCATCTTCACACCACAAGGTTTCTCCTAACACGTCATGACTGACGAACAATCAAGATGAAGGGCGATCAGCAGCGTTCAAAATATGAACACAATCGGAGGAGATTGTCCTCTTTCAACATCCCGGCACATTTACTAATTTCTGTGTGGAGCACAGGTGTGGTACACAGCATTGACAAGCAAATGTGAAGACACATCATTCAACCACAAAGACTGAAAGGAAGAGTAGATACCGAGTTGGAATTTCCAGTATCCACAACGGAGGACAAGATATATTTACAAATCACTTATCACCCCTGAAGCCCAAAGACATTGTAATGGAAATGAGATAAGTTTTATATAACTATACAATCTTTTCCTGTGTGAGATAACAAAATATATTTCATACAAAGGGCACATAGAAGGATATTTTATCTTAGGTGTTCCTCTCAGCAACATGCAGTGGAAATAAATATAATAGAGATCCCTGTTATGGACGAGGCACTTATGAGGCACAACTATGTTTATAACAAAGAGTGCTGTCCAGCCCTGAGTTTTTATGTACAAAATATATGAGGTGCTATACCTGAAGGTTTTCCAACATTCTTTACATTCATAAGGTTTCCTGCCAGTGTGTCTGATTGGCTTTACAAGATTTTAAGGACAAATGAAGGCTTTCCCACAGTCCTTGTATTCAGAGTTTCTCCCCAGTGTGAGTCCTCACGTGGGCTCGCAAGTTTGTGGGGTACCGGAAGGCCTTCCCACACTGCTGACATTCATAGGGTCTCTCCCCGGTGTGAGTCCTCACGTGGGCTCGCAGGTTTGCGGGATACCTGAAGGCTTTCCCACACTGCTGACATTCATACGGCCTCTCCCCGGTGTGCGTCCTCACGTGGACCCGCAGGTTTGCAGGACACCTGTAGGCTTTCCCACACTGCTGACATTCATAGGGTCTCTCCCCAGTGTGCGTCCTCACGTGTGCCCGCAGGTTTACTGGATACCAGAAGGCTTTCCCACACTCCTTGCATTCGTAGGGTTTCACCCCGCTGTGCTTTCTCACGTGTACTTGAAGGGAGGAGTGACAGCTGAAGGCTTTCCCACAGTGCGGACATTCATAGGGTCTCTCCTCAGTGTGTGTCTTCATGTGGGCTCGCAGGTTGGCCGGGTACCAGAAGGCTTTGCCACACTGCTGACATTCATAGGGTTTCTCTTCACTGTGCGTTCGCACGTGTTTTTGTAAGGACGAAGACCACCGGAAGGCTTTCCCGCATTGTGCACACTCATAACGTTTCTCCAAACTGTGCGCCCTCACGTGCCCTTGAAGGGAGGAGTGACGAGTGAAGGCTTTCCCACACTGCTGACACTCGAAGGGCCTCTCCCCAGTGTGCGTCCTCACGTGTTCCTGCAGTGATGTCGAGCTGCTGTACGCTTTCCCGCACTCCTTACACTCGTAGGGCTTCACTCCACTGTGCATCCTCACATGTCTCTGGAAATATCGAGGATGTCTGAAAGCCTTCCCACACTGCTGACATTCATAGGGTCTCTCTTCGCTGTGTGTTCTGACATGTTCTTGAAGAGATAAGGAACAACTATAGGCTTTCCCACATAATGTACATTCATAGGGTTTCAGTCCACTGTGCGTTCTCACGTGTCTTCTAAAGTATTTGGGACAACTGAAGGCTTTCCCACATTGCTGACACAGGTACGGTCTCTCTCCAGTGTGTGTCATCATGTGTCCTTGCAGGGACGCAGGATACTTGAATGTCTTCCCACACTGCTTACATTCATAGGGTTTATCGCCACTGTGTGTTTTCACGTGTTCTCGAAAATACGAGAGGCAGCTATAGGCTTTCCCACACTCCACACATTCATAGGGTCTCTCCCCAGTGTGAGTTCTCACGTGACGTCTAAGGTAGGACTGATACATAAAAGCTTTCCCACACACATCACACGCATGGACTCTCTGTCCACAGTGACCCTTTACATGACCCTGAAAGGATAAGGTACAAGTGAAAGCTTTTCCACACTTCTTGCACTCTAAAGATTTTTTACTACCGAGACTCTTCAAGTCTCTCTTTGATGCTCTCCCAGTGTCCTGATGTTCATAGGGTTTCTCTACAAGGTCCGTGTCCACGTGAGTGCTGAGCCTCGAGACACAGCTACAGGCTGGCCCACATTCTTCACAGGGACTAGGTTTGTTTCCAGGCTGAGATCTTTGTGGATTCTCGGGGAAAGAACCATCTGTGAAGGCTTCTCTACACTTAGCACATTCACAGGATTTGTCTCCAGTAGGACAATCCTCATGCACACTAAGACTTGTAATCTGGTTTACGGTATCTCCACATTGATTATCTTCATTGCTTTCACAGACATGCTCCACCAAATGATTTCTGTTCAAAATAGGAAGGCACACTGTTAGGGAATAATGATCATAACCAAACTATTTATCAATGATCTACTGATGCTTAGTAATGATTATTTGACTACAAAATGACCATTTCCAAGGAATGGGCATGTTTGGGGCACCGTTTACACTGCTATAATGTAAAAGAAGCTAAATGCTCAAAATAAGGGCCCAGTAATAGCCATAACTGTCAGCGTTTCTTACACGTGAGTTTTCCTGATAAATGTTTTGAACTGAATTATATTTCTGATGATCAGTACTACATTTATGAAGATATTGTGTTGTGTAATTCCAATTACACAACTGTTTTTTGTTTTTGTTTTTTTAAAGATTTTTATTTATTTATTTGACAGAGAGAGAGACAGCTAGAGAGGGAACACAGGCAGGGGGAGTGGGAGAGGGAGAAGCAGGCTTCTTGCTCAGCAGGGAGCCCGATACAGGGCTTGATCCCAGGACCTTGGGATCATGACCTGAGCTGAAGGCAGACGCTCAACGACAGCCATCCAGGCGCCCCCCAACTACACAATTGTTCAGCTAGGTTTATACCTTTATACCTTCTTCAATTTCAAGTTATTCTAACAATTTGCCAAGATCCCCATTTCTCCTATGGGAAAGAGAGGCACTCACCTCAAACACCTCTCCTGGGATTGGGACTGATCTCCAATGTGATGAAACACCCAGTTTTCTCCAAAAAGAGCCCAGGAATCGTTTCTTGTAAATCTTACAATTTTGTCTTCACTGGATAGTTCATTCTCCAAAATATTCAGCTGAGTCCCTGATCCACAAGGCTTAACTTGAATGCAACAATCTGCAAGAATAGGGAGCATAATTTAATTTCTTGGGAATAATCTGATGTTTAAAGGTAAGAAAATTAAGGAAATAGACCATATGTGGATTTCTACTCATATACTGACCCCAAATGTATATTAAGTTCATCAGGAAGAATGAACATCTGACCACAGAAAAATTCTAAGGACCCTAGTGATTTAGGACTTAGGCAATAAGGAAAGTGTATGAAAAAGCAGCCCGTTTACTTAGAAATACCTCAAAATCGATGGAGACTAATGTGGAGATAGTATTATCAGAAAAGCAAAATAGGAAGGAAATGGACAAGATACAAACATCCACACACTACCTCTATAAAGGAATACAGAAAAGCTTGCCACGTGAGTGTGGATGGATGAAAAGTCCAAAAGGGAGGCCAGGTAAATGACAAACATCACACCTCTCAAACAAGGACTGAGTCATGTTCTTAATGGACATGTGCAAATGCCATTCCCTTCTCCAGACCCTGGTCCAACTGAGGGTAGCTGGACTGTCCTGAAGGCACCGAGGCCCTTGGTTAAGCCTGCCTGCATTGCCCCAGCTGCCACTGGGGGGTCAGATGGTATATGTGTGGCTAAACAGCTCAGCAGGAAGGAGGATTTGAAGGGCAACAAGCAATCTGGAAAATGGGCTGTTAATTTGGTCTTCAAGGTCATTGAAGATGACGAACTGTGAGTTTAATTGCAGCATGGTTACCATGAGAAATGTGTATTAACCACAGTGCATCTTCCACAGAAATGAAAACCACAAGGCAGCACTCACTGCCCCAGAGCAACACCAGAGACCATCCTCACACTGATAAAATTAGACAGTCTCAGACTTTGATCCAGAGCAATAGTCAATTTATTACATGAAACTTTGTTTTCACAGAAAAGGTATGTGATCCTAGGTAGTTTCCATGAAGGCTTGGACCATGGCTGTCTCTTCTTGAACACATTCCCATTCCTCCGCCCCAGTAAGATCAAACTCTTGTAAGAAACGTTCCCTAAAACTCTAGTGAAGGGGTGGGGCCATGCTTACCCAGTGAGGCCAGGTTCCTGCAGGTCTCCAGCATCACATCTCTGTAGAGCCTCCTCTGACCACGATTCAGCAAAGCCCACTCTTCTGGGGTGAAGTACACAGCCACATCCGCAAAGACCACTGAGTCCTGAAACATCCCACATATTCTATTGCAGCAACGCTCCCTCCTCACCCATGTGTGTGGGAGGACGGGGGTGATAGGCAGGGAACTGCACTCCATTCCTAGGACCTGAGTCACACCCGTGTGGGAAGTGACAACATGCAAGCACATCCGCTGCCACGCATTCAGTGATGGGAAAGGCTGGGAACCCGAAGCAGAGGGTGATGACATCAGCTGATACAGACTTACATACACCCAAATATAGGTTATTTTTGCTGACTCAGAGCAGATTCGAGCACTCTAGCACGGTAAAAATGAAAAATGAAATACTTTTTCAGACAACACAAAAATCGGACAACACATCTTTGACTTGCTCAAAGATGATTATAGCCTTATCAGCTCTAAGAACTGGAAGCAGAATGTCAGGATGTTGTGGACACTTGACTTGAGCAGATCTCTCCTTGGAAGGCAACAAGGTCAAGGAGCCTGGTGCAGTCCCCTCCATCCCGGCAGAGGCAGACACGACCCTTTCCCTGGATTAGGTGGACTGTGAGTCCCTGTGACACAGGGACCAGGGACCTGGCACACCTGGTGCATAAGAGAAGTTCCAGTTCTGGAAGAATCATGGAAGTCAGCAGGACCTCAAATATACACCTCAGTGCCCAGAATTCAAGAAGGGCACCAGAAAGAAGAGCCCCTGAGGGACTGATGGTAACAAACAGCCACTGGTGACTTTAACAGAGAAAGAAAACAAGGCTAATCCATATCTTTAGAGCAATAAGGGATGACACCACACTCATGAAATAGAGAGTTCAAAAAATTACTTTTTTCAAAAAATCAGATTTTCTAAACAAAAACTATTATTTCAAAATTTAATGAAAAAGGGACGCCTGGGTGGCTCAGTCAGTTAAGCATCTGCTTTTGGGTCAGGTCATGATCCCAGGATCCTGGGATCGAGTCCCACATCGGGCTCCTTGCTGAGCAAGGAGCCTGCTTCTCCCTCTGCCTGCCTCTGTCTCTCTCTCTCTCTGATAAATAAATAAAATCTTAAAAAAAAAAAACAATAAAAAAAAACCCAAAAGCCAACCATTATCACTTAACAGGAAGGTAAATTCTACTTCAACTGTGGTTATAACT